CAGAAAATCAACTATTTCTAGTGACTTTATGGTGTATCTTCAAGAATCGGATTACGATATAAAAGCTGCAAATGATCTTGAAATGTTTTCCCAAGCCATGAATTCTAAAGAATCCGATTTATGGCATGGTGCTATGAAAGACGAGATGGACTCTATGGCATCAAACAAGGTATGAGATCTTGTCGAGTTGCCTGATGGTGTAAAAGCCATCGGATGCAGATGGGTCTTCAAAACCAAAATAGACTCTGATGGCAACATCGAAAGACATAAAGCAAGACTTGTTGCTAAGGGATTCACTCAAAGGGAAGGAATCGATTTTACACCGAGACATTTTCTCCGGTGACTAAGAAAGATTCCCTCCGTGTGATCATGGCATTAGTAGCTCAGTTTGATTTTGAGTTACATCAGATGGATGTGAAAACAACATTCCTGAATGGTGATCTAGAGGAACAGGTTTATATAAAACAACCTGAAGGATTTACCTCTAGTGGTGGAGAAAATTTAGTTTGTAAGCTTAATAAATCCATATATGGATTGAAGCAAGCCTCCCGTCAGTGGTATTTGAAATTTCATAATGTTATCTCTTCATTCTGCTTTGAAGAAAATGTCATGGATCACTGTATATACCAGAAGGTTAGTGGGAGTCATATTTGCTTCCTTGTGTTGTACGTGGATGACATTTTGCTTGCAACTAATGATAAAGAGATGTTATATGATGTGAAACAATTTCTCTCAAGGAACCTTGATATGAAAGATATGGGAGAGGCATTTTATGTCATTGGCATTAAGATCCATAGAGATAGAAATCGAGGCATTTTGGATTTGTCTCAAGAAACCTATATCAAGAAAGTTCTAGAAAGATTTAATATGAAAGATTGTTCACCAAGTGTAGCTCCCATTGTGAAGGGTAACAGGCTCGATTTGAGTCAGTGTCCGAAAAATGACTTTGAAAGGGAACATGAGCAATATCCCTTATACTTCAGCAGTAGGAAGTCTTATGTATGCTCAGGTTTGCACCAGGCCTGACATATCATATGTTGTTGGAGTATTATGGAGATATCAGAGTAATCCAGGTGTTGACCACTGGAAAGATACAAAGAAAGTGATGAGGTACCTTCAACGTACGAAGGATTTTATGCTCACATATAGACAAACTGATGTCTTGGAAGTGATTGGCTACTCCGATTCGGACTACGCTGGCTGCATTGACACTCGGAAATCCACATCGGGTTATGTGTTCATGTTGGCTGGTGGAGCTATCTCTTGGAGAAGTACGAAGCAGTCTATCACTGCTACTTCCACTATGGAGGCTGACTTTGTTTCATGTTTCGAGGCTAGCTCGCATGGTGTATGGTTGAAGAGTTTCATATCCGAGCTTAGAGTCGTTGACTCTATTTCCAGACCGATTAAGTTGTACTGTGACAACTCTGATGCGGTGTTTATGGCTAAAAACAATAAGAGTGGGAGTCGAAGTAAACACATCGACATCAAATATTTAGCCTTAAGAGAACGTGTCAAAGAAAATAAAGTGGTCATTGAACACGTTAGTACGGAGTTGATGTTTGCTGATCCCTTGACTAAAGACATGCCACTAAAGAGTTTCAGTTATCACGTAGCAAGTATGGGACTTGATTCTACAATGTAGTTTATTTGCACACATTGTTATTTGAGACTCTTATTCAGTTTGATGTTTTCTCGCTTTATTGTGCACATATTTGTTTATTATTGAGAAAACTCGCTTATGTTTAACCCGGAATAAATATATGATTTTTCATTCATATTGTGAATTTAGTTTGAGATGCTTGACATATCGTGATACATGGAAGGTAACATTCGTTTATAGAAGACCTACCGCCATGATTCGTATGTAAAGTTTCTCGTTATGTTGTGATAGTTTGAGTGGGCCAAGTGGGAGAATGTTAGTTTAACTAATTAATCAATCATATTTGAATTTTGATTATTTTTTAATTATCTTATATAATTAAACTAACCTAAAATTGTGGCCCACTTTTCTCCCATTAAGTCTATCACATTCAAAATATACGTGAGAAGTGGCAGAAAAATCGTGATGGACGGTTTCTCTTTTTTATTATAAATACTCTCACATAAGGGTTACTAAACCTACTCTAAAAAAATCATAATACACCATCGCTATTTGAGAGCCAGGGTTTGGCAACGTTATCCTAGGGTTCCAAGATCTGACATCTTCACAGGGTTCCGAAGTTTGGCAACAGCCTCCCAAGGGTTCCAAAGTTTGGCAACACCATCTTCCCACGGTTCCAATCTACCGTTTGCTTGAAGAAGAGAGTATCGAGAACAAATTTAGTTTTTAGCAATGGCTGGAAGTTTGTTTCGTTATTCGCTTCCGCTAACATATTTGATTATATGTTTATTTTCTAACATAATAAACATATGTCCGACCATCTAGTATATGCATTGATAAGTACCATAAATATCTGAATGGTCCACATATATCACCCTGAGTTCATTCTAAAAATGCAGGGGATTCATTTTAACTTTTTTGTGATGGTCTAGTTATTAACTTCCCCACTCGGTATTCATTCTCCCATTCCTCATCCCTGGTGTAAGAAAATTGTTAAAAACCAGACAAGCTACTCATGAAGGTGCAGGTCGTGGTAGTTGAAGAGGAAAATGTAGAGGTAATAGCCGAAGAGGAAACAATGTGATGAAGTTGTTGTTGATGTTGTGCTACTTTAAGTGGTGTTTCGTGAGCCTTCTGAAGTTCAAAATCCAATGGAGATCACTCATACTAATCGTCCCCATGGTGTTTCTAACATCAATTTGATTCCTTAAATGGAAACCGGTGAGGATGCCTCACCGACATATATCAAGTCTTCTGATGAAAAGATTGCCCAAGAAAAAAGAGATTCCGACATTCTTGCCCCTATTGTTCAAGAAGAAAATATTATTGTTGATTGAGAAATACTACTATTGAAGGTGGTGTTCCTGATCCTGATAATGCCGAACCCATAACTGAGCTGGAAAACCAAGAAGAACCAGTGGAGGAACAAGTTATTGATGACCAAGAAAAATAGAGGTGACAACCCTATTCTGTCATCCATTGACGAATCAGATAACAAAATTTCCTCTGTCGTCCTTAAGTGTTCAGAAGAGAAAAAATGGCAAAAAGACCACAAAAGCAGGTTCTTCCTCTGTTTCAATTGTTTAGTCTTGGTCGTGCTTAAAATGAATCTTTCTTTAACAAAAATTAAAAAAAAAATAAAAAAAATAGAAACTTCTATTAAAAGGCGATCTCTCTAGGCAAAGTGATTAGTAAAAATAGGTTTGAGAAACTTAGTTACAAGGAATTGAGATCTTGGACTATTTCGAGTCAAAGCGTCTCTCGCATTGGGCAACCTTGCTCTCTCAATTCTGTCCAAAATTGGTAAAAGAGTTATATTCCAAAGTCATCTCTGGAGGCAGAGCATCCTATTTTGGAAGGAAAAATATGAGTCCAACTCTTTTATCGGTGAAATATTATTTCATTTATCGATTTTGTGCTTTCAATGTCTTTCCCATCACTAAAACATCATGCTTATCCACTTATATGGACAATTTGGTATATTCAATCGATAAATATGTTGCTCATGCGAACTTTGGTCTGATTATTCTAACCAAAATGCATGAGTTCACTAAAGGAAATATCCTTAAGCATGCAAGGTTGTCATGCCCTGCCCTCATTACAACTCTCCTTGCTGAAAATAAAGTTTTTCAAGTTGAAGATGATGAGATAGTGCAAATCTCCTCCCATGGTCTGTCATGCAACCTTTTGCAATCTCCACAACAACTTCAAAGATAGATATGTCTTGATTGGTAAAGCCAGAGTCCAAATCTTGCAATAGAAAGTCATGCGCATGCAACGCAACGTAAAGCCCAAGAGCGCAATGAAGTTATGCTTAACTTCGTAAGAGAGTTGGGACAAGTGTATCTTATGCTACCCGGACTACTAACGATGGCTCCAGATATAAAAGACTCAAATGATGATGATGATGCTGAGGCATTTAGTCCGGACTGTGCATATACCACTCCTTTTGGCTGATGTGTCTTCCAAGAGGGAGAAGACAGAAGGGAGTCAGCGTTATGTGAGTAATACTTTCTTACTCATCTTAATGGATTAATGATGAATTGATAACTTTTGGATTAATGTTTTGTAGGAACTAATAGATTGCTGCTCTTGCATGCTTTGCAAGATCTATTATTGCCATTTTTGTTTTATGGTATACAAATTGAGGGGGAGTCCTCATTTTTGTTTCATTTGATTTGATTTGGTATGCAATAGCTTGATGAATTATTGGTTGAATTTTCAGTCAGTAATAGTTAAGAATAATTACATAAATTGACTGTTGTTGGTGTCTGTAGATCTCTCAATATTTTTTTCCTCTCGATGTATGGTATATCAATAAAAAAAAAAGAGAGATTATTGGTATGAAAATTTTGATTGACTATCAAATATTTGCAAAAAGAATAGACGACCAATCTGTTGCCTGTTGCACTGTCTATGATCATCGAATCAAGGTCTATTATGATGGATTGAGAAATATCTATTGGATGAGACAAATTGAATATCTGATCCGATCCGCAAGGACCATGATTGGGAATTGTTTGATCGTCTTTCAATACTTGATTGCAACCAAAAACAAAAAATATTGTCTATTGTGATTGCATTTAAATTGAAGGTCAAAGGCGAAGAAAAGAAAGTCTATCATTAACGAGGTCTTTGACATATCAATTTCATTTTCATATACATCGATATTTTTCATAGGATGTGTCTAAGCATATTTGACCTTTTAGAATCCATGATTGTCGATTTTTGTTTGGAATTAGCCCAAAAAATTTCTTTTCGCATTTATCGTAAGATACTTGTCAAGTAAGCAAGCAATTCGACATCCCATAAATCACCGGACATAGCTAACGTAGCACTAGACGAGAGATATAAGTGGCGAGATATAGGTGCAAACTATAAAAATGCAACTCAGCAATTCATCAAACTTTTCTACGAAAAGCTCAATCAAACAAATCAAAACAACATATACTCTAGAACATGCAATGAGACTTAACATAACTGGAATGTACACAAAATGATCTAACTAGCCACAGATTTTTAAGATATAATACGATTACCAAATGTATTTTGTTTATAAACAACGAACACAAGTAAAATTTATTTCTTTAACCAGTGTTTTTCAAATTAAGCAATTCATTAGAACCAAACATATAATATAGGATTGGGATTAAATGATATCATCGACCGCTGCCTAAACCATGATTAGTACGTTACGTAGTAATTAACCTTGTTCATTACCGAGAGAGGGATTAATTAATTAGCGACACTAATTAATATCTCCATGCTGACGTGGCGACGAGGGGCCTATCATGCCAGCAAAGCAGCATCTCCCCCTGCCGTTTTGCCACGTGGAATCCTCTAACTTGCAAGCGCCTGAGCAAACAGTCCGCCTGTATGTCCGCAAACTGGCTCAGCCCTACCTGCCGAAGCCCCGCCGCCAAAAGCGCCTCCCTCCACGCCGCCGCACGCCTCCCCGCCGCCTCCACCGCCTCCACAATCTTGGGATATAACACAAAGGTTTCGATTCTCCTCATCCAATCGCCGCCGCCGTTAAAGTTCGCCGCCTCCAGAGACTCCAGCAGGGTGGAGTAGAATTCTAGGCCGTCGATCACAGCCTGGCGATACGGCGTCGTTCCCAGCCCCATCTGGCCTTCCATGTCCACGTGCACAACCACGTGAGGCGAAATCCGCCGCAGATCGTTCAGGAACCCCGTCCCGATTTGCCGGAATATCGCCGGAGATGATAGCACCGCCACCTTCTCTCCCTCCATAAATTTAATCGCCTTGAATGATAAATACTCGAAGCTTCGAATTGATATGAATTGGATCTCGAATCTAATGTTCAGCTCCCGAGCGAATTGCGTCGAATTCTCCCGAACCAGCCTGGACTCCGCCGCGTACTCCTCCGGCACGATTGCTGATATCCGGAGCAGCGGCGGCGCGTGGTCCGACGACCTGTCGGCCAGCTCTTTCATGAAGGAGGCCCAGTGACCGCCGAGGCCGATGTCGAAGTCGATGACGTGTACAGGTGAATCCAAGGCGGCGTCGAGCAAAGCTTGGTTGGCCGTGAAGCTGGAAAACATGAAAATGGGAGAGATGTTCGAGAAGGTTCTCTGAGCCTTGATGGTCTGAACTATTTCCATGGAGTTTGCCGGCGGGCGAGGGGAGCCGGTGAGTAGCGATTGAAGGGCTTCCTTGAAGTAAAAAGCCGCCCGCTGGAGCGGCTTCCCCGCCGGCGAGCTCAGCCGCTGATTGAGCCGAGCCGATATCACGTGAGCCAGCTGGAACGACCCCGTCTCGAAGCACTCTGCCAGTCGAATCAGCTCATCGACGAAATCGAGCCCCACAACGTCGCCGGAAAATCCTTCGAACAAACCCATCATACTATTCGGATTGTTAGAATTATTATTATTATTGTTATTATTGGCGATGTCAGTGAGAAGCCCGAAATCAGCAACCGCCAACTGATTGTTCGCGTCGAAGGAGGAACTAATTAGCGGTGGAAATTCTGGGAGATGGTCAGTAATCTCGGGGTGGGGGTGGGGGTGGGGGTGGGGAAAGGGAGGCGGCCGGGAAACGGGAGATTCGTCGTCGATGTCGTGCAATCCCAATTCTCTCATCAAAGAATCCCAGTCCTCTAATTGTGCAGCAGGTTGGTGGTTGATCAGGGCATGATCGTTTACTTCCAGATTATCGGCGGCGGTCTTCTCCGCGACAGGGCTGGGGCTTCCTCGGAGATCAAGGACGGAGCTGGGCTCGTAGGCGGCGGTGCAGCTAAGGGCGGCGTGTTTGGCGGCGGCGTCGTCGTGAGGGTTATTTGCAGACGGCAGGGGTACTTTCATTTCTTTTTTCTTGAAGAAATTCAATTAATACAACAGGTGCAGTGTCGAATGAATTTGGGATTTTGCTTTTTCCTCCAATTCCTAGCTTCAACGAGGAAGCACTGTTCTAAAATCGCAAATATGTGAGGGAACCAGGGCAGGGCAGGGCTGGGAGGGGGTCTTTTGGGTTAGATGATTGATGGCCTTTTATCTTTATCTTTGCGTTGCGTGCATGGGAATTGCTGTTCTTGGAAAGTCCATGGACCCCAGGGCCAGATTGAATCCACACCGTCCGATTGAGAATCATCAGGACAGTGATGGGCCCAGATGGGGCGGGCATGACGCGACAAAGACAAGACAAGACGATACATAAGATTGAGATTAGATCGAGGAGAACACACATACACATAGTTAATATATGAATTTAGAGTCTGTATATTTATTCTAATTTTTTCATATTTTATTATTTTGACTTTATATTTTTTTTTTACGAAATATCTTATTAAATATTATTTTAATATCAAATTTAAATTAAATTTTTTCAAACTCAATCAAAAAGAAATACACTCTAAATTGAATGGGAGAATAAGTTCTGTTTAGACAGCATATTTTTACTTATTCAATACTTTTTATTTTTCAAAAATATCACATCAAATATATTTTTTTTTTCACAAAATATCAAATTAAATACTAATTTTTTACCTTTTATTTTTTTTCCAAATTTTCAAAAGCCCCCAAAAATTCATATCTAAACAAACCACATATATTTATATATAAGTATTAGTATTATTGGAATTAGAAGCTTGTTAGTGAAGGATGTGTTAGGATGACATGATGCACTTTTGAATTCCATTGCCTACTTTCTTTGATTCCCATCTCTCTTTCTTTCTTTCTTTCTTTCTTTCTTTCTTTCTTTCCATTGTTACGTTGCCTCATTATTGGCTTTCCACTTCTCCCTATTTCTTGCTTTTTCTCCGCCCCTTTTACTTGGCTTTACCCTCCTTTCCACTCTCCTTTACATTAATATTATTATATCATTGTATAGGTGAATGATTAGGGTGTTGCATTGTGCTAACTAGGAGTATGCTGATTAGTTCACTCACTATATGAAAATATACCTCATCCATCCATTAAAATTAATTTATTTGGGCTCGTTACGAAAATTTAAAAAAAAAAAAATGAATATTTTATTGAAAAAATGATAGGTAGTTGAAGGTATTTTAAAAAATTTAATTAAGAAATAAAGTAAACGAAGAGAGAGAATGTAATAAAGTTAATGGTATTTGTCGTAAATAAGTATTGAATTGAGGGTAATAATAAAATTTTGATTTGTTGACTTTACCAAAATTAATAATGAAATAAATTTAATGAATTAATTAAAAATAAAAAATAAAAATAAATTTGACGGAAAGAGGAAGCATTGCATAAACATATTCAAAATGCATTGCACAACATATATTGTATTTACCGATAGCAAGCATTGTTTGCTCTAATTTATAATATGTCGTATTAATATATACATTATATGGTGAGATTTTTTATAATATGTGATGTAAACTAGTATTTATATTATGAGGAATAATTTGTATTTTCTCTGTCCTAAAATTATAGTCTGGATTGTATTCGACACGAGATTTAAAGAATATTGATATTATATTGGTATTGGGTAAAAAGTATACGTAAAAAACTTTTTTGCTTTGTGAGTATATTAGTGTAAAAAGTAGTGATAATTGTGTAATAATAATGAAAAAGTAAAGATAATTTTATAGTGATATAGTTATTTATGAAAATGAGACTATTGTTTTTTAACAGACAAAAATAGTAAATTATTGAGAGGGATGAAGTATATTGTACTATCAATATAGTATATTTTAAGTATGGTGAGTACTGTATTGACTATAATAGTTCATCACATTGACAACAACTCATTATTTATATATATATATATATTTCAGTCTTCAGTATAGAGTTTGTCTTTTTTTTTTTTTTATAATTTTAACCACAAATTGATATTATTTTTCCTTCATAATTTTAAATAAAAATAAATTATTATTTATTCATAAAATATCGCATCAATATATTATTTAAATAAAAATTCAAATATTATTTAAAATTAATTTTTAACTCCAATCAAATAAAATTTACACCACAATTTTTTTGTTTCTCGTTTATAATTATGAGTATATAATTTCAAATGCACCCTACAATATATATATATATATATATAATTTTTTTTTTCCATTATTTATAGGTATGTAATGTATATAGTGGTGGGAATGGGATAAAGTGGAGGTAGGATGGAATCTGCAGTTGGCAAATTGGTGTGGTGTGGAGAAGTAGGGCAGGGCAGGGCAGGGCGGGCAGCCTAGAAATTTCTATGTATTCAACTAAAGGCGCCTTTCTTTAAGTGCGATTTTTATTTGTGAGGGAAGACGACGTCGTTTTCTACTTCTACTTGTATTTCTGCAACATCTTAAATTAATGAATAATGTGTGCGATTGTGACTGTTCGGAAGTGTGGCTCAGAATCATACAGAACACATGCATGATGGTCAAATTCAAATCCACTCGTTTGCCTACTCGCTCTGATATTTGTGCCAGTATCGTTATTACAATGACAATGATATTATCACCAAATATTTATCGCTGTTAAATATATTATCACAATATAATAAATTAATTAAAAGAGAAAATATAGAATTAGTACGAGTGTCTTTATATAAAATATATAAAAATATGTAAATAATATAAAAATAATAAATATATATAAAAAAACACACTGTTACAAAATTTTTTAATTATAATTATATGAAAGTGGTTTCGGTGTTGATGTGTGCAGCACCATGCTGATAAAATATGAACCATCCATTATAATAAATAAATTTGGATGATTTAGATTGAAGAGGGGTATAATTGTCTTTTTAAATCTAAAAAAAATATTAAAGGGTGGGTATGTATGTACGTAAATCTCTTTTTCTCTCTGCTGTCTCTTTCTCCATTTTCTTTCATTTTCTCTCCCGCGGGCAGCACCTCCCCAGTCCTAGTAGCCGCCTCCATCTCCTCCTTCTTTCTCTTCTTCTCTATGTATCTCTTCCTCCCTCTTTTACTTTTTTTTTCCTCCGAACAGTTGATCACCAGTTGTCTAGATCGCTGCCAAAAATCGCCGTTCTTCCACCAACCCGCCGTGAACCACCATTGTCGCCCAATTGACCCGCCGCGAACCCAAGTTTATTTCGGCATTTTCTGATATGATATTTTAATGTTTTTTTTTTTGTTTGAATATTAGTTTAAATCAGTAGTGTATATGAAAACATGTTTAAAGTGTTTTTTTGTGGCAATTTCTGGGTAACACTCATAATGTTTGATAGTACAGTAACATGCTAAACACAATACAGGGAGATGCATGTTTGTATTAAATAAAACGTTGGGTATAGAATATCTAAATGCTTATTCATCCTTTTTTCTATTTGTGTTAATAGGTTTTGGAAAATATATTTAGAATTTATTTTTTGTGGCATTTTCTGGATAAAATTTATAGTATTTGATAATACAATAATATGCTAAATACAATAAACAAATATGCTTATTGGTATTCAGTAAAATGTTTCGTTTAGTAAATGTAAATGCTTATTATACGATGTTCATAATATTTTGTAATTAAATCATATGCACAAAGATTGATATGTTGTTGGCATTGTTTCCTTTAGTGTTGGAACAATAGCCAAATTTTGATCCGTAAAAATATTTTTTGGTGCACAACCACCCATGTACTTCAAAAAGATATTAAAAACTCACTTGAATGAATATTGTATTTCTTCATACAACAACGTTGTCCCAAATATAAATGTTTGGCGGTGATTATTAAATCATGCGAAAATACCTAATGTTGCAGTATTGTTACAATCCAATATATGAAAACAACTTACGAGATGTTGTGTACTTTGTATTATGAAGCTGATTTGTAGAAGATGAAATACTGAATAATGTAAGATGAAATGCTGACTACCGAAGTATTGTATTTGATGCGAATCAGTTTTTAATAATGGATAATTGATTTTGTTTGTCTCCATCAATTTCATCCATTACTTTTGTTAGAAGAGTTTTAGTCATTTTTCCACATGAGGAGGCGAATGAGAATTTAGGTCTAAGTTAGTTATAAAAGTTAGGAAAATTTAAAAATTACTATTAAACCCCTAAATTAATACAAACCTTAAAATTAAAAATTGTAATTCAATGGTTAATATTGAATCAGTATCGTGGTTAATATTGAATCAGTATTGTGCTGAACTTTAATCCCAGCCATACTTATGTTCTTACAAAACCAATTACTTATCTGTCCAACAAAATGATGTATCTTTATTTGGCTTCCGAAGCTGAAAACCAATTATTCGCTCCACATTTTTGGATCACCACGAAATTTAAAATATAAATATTTTATTCAAAAGTATAATTAGTTAAGTGTATTTATGAAAATTTAAAAAGAACAAAAATATAAAATTTCAATAATGATAGTGATAGGTGTTGCAAATAAATACCGAATAAAATATAATAATTAAACATTGATATTTGGACTTGTTAAAATTAAGTAATTAGATCAATTGAGAGACAAACAAGAAAAATGTAAATAAATTTGTCGGACAAATGAAATATATTTTAAAATAAAGTATAATAGGTAAAACATTAAATTATTGTATCATGAAAAATTTATTAAAATGTTAATAAAAAAACTTGTTTCGGTTAACGGAGTTAAATCAACATAGTGCTGAGTTAAATCAATATGGTGCTGATTTGATTCAGTATGTACATTTTTATAAAGAACTCACCCCATATTCAACATAACGTGATAACACAATATATAACACATATTTTGACAGCACATTATATAGCTAGAGTGTAACTCAGTGTTATACAATATATACACGAGTTAGTTTTATACTCTTTCCATGCCATATAAAATATCTATTTTTTCTATTTCGGTATGTTTCACATAATTTGTCATTTCATTTTTTGAAAATATAACTATATACTTGAATCACGTTTTAAATTTTGTAATGTATAATTTTTAAATCTTAATTAAATTATTTTAGTTATCTTAATTTTATTTTTATTATACAATAATTATTTTGATTCATACACTTAGATATTGGATGAGATTTCTCATCTTGTTTTCGAGGCTTTGATTTTCTTGACTTAGAT